ATAATATTTTTTTATATTATTATTTTTTCCACATCATCACTTTTTGACTATATTATCTTCCATGTGGATTACTATATGACATGTCATCGTGTTCCCGTTAGTTAACAGTACACGTCACTGGATTTTTAACGAAAGGACCAAATCGGGGTAAAAATGGTAAACAGTAAGGACCAAATTATGGATTTTTTTAGTTTAGGGACCAAATCGGGGGTTCATACAATAGTTCAGGGACCAAAAAGGGGTTTTAACCTTAAATTTTTTATCTTGAGCTTTGTTGCATGTAAAATCATTAAGCACCGTTTCATTTTCTTATCAGCCTTTTTTTCTTATAAGAAAAAATGTTAAAACATTGTACAGTAACTGTTTCATTTTATCCTTCAAGTTCAAGTTTCAAAATAAGACGTGATTAGAAAGACCTTGAGAAAGTGAAAAACTGTTATAGTAAATATATATAGGAAAAAGTATATATATATATATATGTATTATTTACCAAAATTAAGACAAAATAATTTTCTAAATGAATACAATATGAGAATAACTCTATACTTACAATAGCACATAAGATGGTAAGTTTACTATCATGGCATGGAATGAACCAAGAAATGCATAATAATATTATCGATGGACCTTTAAATGAAAAAAAAAAAAAACTATTAAATGGTGTGATGATAAAATGATTCCATCATTAAAAACTTTTAACTACAAAGGAAATAACGACAGGTTGAAACGATATTCACGTGGTTAATAGTAATTCAACAATGGTAAATTAAACTATTAATGATGGGAATCACACTGGGTTTTTTTTCCTTTTAGTATTATGTATAAGGTTAAATATCATTTTAATTCCTCAATTTGAGGGTTTCGTACAGCTTTTATTGTTTAACATTTTTTTTGCACCTTTTTTAGTCTTTAAACTATAAAAAATGTATTTTTTTAGTCATTTTGTCAATTAATTCGTTAAGATTCCTTACACATGCACATTTTTAATTCATTAACTTATAATATATATACATTTTTTGTTCCTTAACTTAAAAATTCTAGGACTAAAATTGTGTATATATAAATAAACTTAATAAACTAACTTAATTATGAAAGGATTAAAAATACATTTTTTATAGTTGAAAACCCAAAAAAAGTACATAAAAAAACTAAGAGATGAAAATTATGTAAAATCCTGAAATTGAAGGATCAAAATTAACATTCAACCTATACATAATCATCATTTAAAAAAAGTACAAAAAAAAAAAAAAAAACTGAAGAAACTAAGTTACATAGAAGAAAATATACATTCGTTATTTGGCAATGAGGATGCAAATACAAAGTTTGCAAGGAAAAAGGCAATCAGGGAAGCGAGAAGATGAAAAGGAAACAACATGGCTTGAAGAAGTTGAAGAGAGGTAGAAGAAGAGATTCAGGCAGCTGTCTGAGAGCATGGAAAATGATAAGAGGAGGAGGACTCAATTGGTTGGCTTAAAGACAGAAAGAGAAATGAGATGGTGATAGGAGTAGACTTCAAAAAATCCAATGAAGTCAACAATAGAATATGGACGAGAGAGAGTAAACAATTGCATCATTGTCCCTACAAAATTAATTAGTTTTCAAACTCTGCAACTTGAATGAATTCTTAATGAGGTGAGTGTGATGTATGGGATGTATATGTTACTTAA